GCAACAGACTAACCACAGTTTCTTCCATGCAGTTCATCTGAATAGGAGCTACACACAAAAACATCTAAAGAAACATTAAGTTTTGCATTCTTCTGCTCCGACACTAGAGCATGGATTCTCCACTGTCAGCTTGGATGGGGAAAACGTTCCAACTTTTCTTTTCACATATATTACTATATTACAGACACATTATTTTTAAAAATATGTTGATATCTGTATTGGAGCCGAATTGAGGTCTGTAGGCTTCACCTGTCTCTCAAAGGGGTCCTTGGCACAAAAAAATTAAGAACCCCAATATTAGAGACGCCCTTGAGATTTGTCATCTCAACAAAGTTCCAAACTAGAGAAAACAGGCTTATCAGATACATTGTGCAATGCGGTGGGTTGGTGAAACACAGCTTGTTGAACAAGCCACAACTGAATGGGTTCACGCAAGACACAGCAAGCTAAAAAGTCATGGCTTTATAAACCAACATACTGAGCCCAAACTAACACAGAAAGCCACAGCAAAGCCAACCACAGTTTAATCACAGGTGAATACAGCCTGCAGGCTTGATGCTTTTACATCACATAACCCCAACCTGGTTACAGACAACAACTTTCATCTATGGCCAATGCTGTTCTTTGAAATATTTCATCTCGGTTATGTGGGAGTTGAGACAGCACCCTTTAATTTCACCGGAGAAAGAAGCCAGTCATATTTTGCTTTAATATTTCTGTTCTGTTAGTCGCTGTAATAAAAATATGGTTTCTGTGATAAACAGCTTCCTTCTGGGATCCAGGACACATGTCTGAAGTGCTGTTTGATGCCTTCAAAATTCCCTTCCCCTGTATGGTGTAATTATACCGAAGGGAAGACTAGTTTTAAAATGGGTCATCTTAGATTTGCTAAGAGTATGCTAAGAATATGGTAAAGTATGCAGAAGGTGCTTTGTCACACCCCGCACTTCCTTTTGTCAAGGGTTATATTAGATTTAGGACTGTCTTCCTTTGGGGAAAATACTAGTATAAGATATTTCATGCATGTACGCACACATATGCACACGTACATATATAAACAGAGGCTGGGTTTATACAACAAGGTCAATGAAGGACCAAGAACCTGGAAACACAGTTTGCTATCTTGGTTAGCATTAATTCTGGTAAGGGATTTTTGGGGCGGGGGGACATTGCACACAATGGGCCCACTTGGTTAGCTCAGGGTGTCCACATCGTGGTCAGAAACATCAAGATGCCCACCATGCTGGTGTGATTGAAATTCCGCCTGCTTTTTCAGGCCGTCGCAGGTGCGATGCACATAAAAACCGGGCAGAGCTTTGATCACACTATGCCATCTTGACTTTTTTGACTACGCCTTGTGGACATCCTGGGTTAGTTTATAATTCCTGCATTGTGCAAGTTGAGGACATGGGTTTGTCCAGGAATCAAGGGGAAGGCCCTGTAGAGAAACAGCGGTTGTGCCGAGACGCAAAAAAGATAAATACAGAGGGCTTCACCAATGAATCAGCTCCCTCCGTACATTTAACAGTGACGCTTGATGAAGGCGAGGGGGTGGTTTATGCATGAATGTGCACTCATGCACCAGGGTAGGCATTACTGAGCATCTCCTTCCTGGCTTGGAGCTAGTCCCCAGTTCGCCAGTTGAATGTTGCCCTTCTCCCCCCTCCAAATTAAAGACTAAATCAAGGAGACATAACCCCAAATATCAAAACAGCCGTCAACACGGGTTTAAGACTAGAAAGAGGGGAAAAAAACAAGCAAAGGACCAGCGCCCCCTAATGGCTCAAGCATAGAACTGAACGTCTCAAGACATCTAGAGCAGAATTAGAAGCCACCAGCCACCTCCAGCCACCCCCCACATAACCGGGATGAAAGGTGCCTTAACTGTGCTGGTTACACTCTAGGAAGACAGGAGCAAAGGTCTTCTCTGGAACTTTCTAAGTCAGAATTCTGCTGAATTTTGTTTACTTTGGTTCTGAGAAGAAGGCACTCCTTGTGGGATGGTCCCAACAATTCTGACAGCTGCCTTCTGACCTGTTTGAAGGGTGTTGAGTTGGCAGAGATTCCAATCTCTTTCCCAACAGAATCAAAAGCCAAACATAGCCTGGAAGCTTGGATATGATCTTTCCATCTCACTGGATTTAGTACGTCCTCAAGCAAACTAGAACAGACGGGACAGGGGTCACTCTCCGCTTTCCGCACGAAAGAATTTCCCTCGTTTTCCAGAGTGAACGGGGGCAACCACCAACGTATCGAAGTCTTTCTCCTTTCTAAAAGAGGAGGGATGTGTGAGGAAGGGTTTGCTCACCTTGGCGTCCTGCTTCGTCAGGAAATCCACAAACCCAAAACCACGATGCGCTCCCGTTCCAAACATTTTCTTTGGCAGGCGGACCGTCTTCAGCTCTCCAAAGGTGCTGGGACAGGAAGAGAAGAAGAAAAGGGAAAGATCAGTTTCACAGGGAAAGACCAAAGCTTTGGGACACGGCTGAAAAGGAGAGGCATTTTCTCCAAGGAACTGTGAGGAACCCATGGCAAATTTTGCGTTTGCACAACACACTTGACCTGATCACTGAATTCACTAATTTTTCTGTGTTTGCACAATACACTGAACCATAAATGAATGAAAGGTGCCTTAACTGTGCTGGTTACACTCTAGGAAGACAGGAGCAAAGGTCTTCTCTGGAACTTTCAAAGTCAGGATTCTGCTGAATTTTGTTTTCTTTGGTTCTGAGAAGAAGGCACTCCTATCCCAGGAAGAATAAATTCGTGGGTATTTCTCAAGAGGTAGACATTGTTACCTGCTTGTTCTAACTAGGTCGTCATCCTTCTGTAATTCGTTCAGATTTTGTTTGAAAGGATATGAAATTTGGCGCTGGTGTGGTTTTGTGGTTAGCTCCCCTCTGTACTAGAAGGATATATGTGTTTTATATAAGCAAAATAATACATGTTTCTGGTACAAATTCTTCCTTCTGGAAGAAAGAAGTAAGGTCTCGTTTCTTCCAGTGCTAAAGGTGCTGTTCAATTCCAAACTCATGCCATGCATTGAGGAAATCGCCAAGGACGAGAATTACAAAAAGGAGGCCATAATTCAGCCCCCCAAATCCCCAGTTGAGATTGAGTAGGAACCTTGCTTTCTGGACCGATTCTCAATGTCCCATTAGTTCACAAGTTTTCATCATGGTTGTGAATTCCAAATGGGGCAGTTCCCATATAAAGCCAAGATACCATGGATATCTTGCAACAAACCAGAATTATTTTTAGTCATGGTTGGACAAACCGTAGCTCGGTTGACACATAAGTGCTGGGTTCATGCAACACGCACTTCCAAAACTCAACCTCATTCTGATTTTGAGCAATGCATGAAGCGGCTAGCCCACACTTGAGCTCTTACAATATACTATTCCCAGGTTAACAACAACGCAATGGCTAGGTTCACACACACGCTATGCCCAGACAACCGTATTATGGCTTACCATAATGGTTTGGTTCACATGTTGCCAAGGTAACAGCTAGGTTCCCATAACATGTTAAGCCACAAACAACGCAACTCTACTTGTGAGCTTGTGAGCTGGTAGCCCCAGAATCTCTGAAACCTGTTGTGAATGGAGGGCTGAAGACCAAAAGTCTCCACTGAAAGGGTCTGAGCTTCCTTGCACTAGTATGATAAAAGTTAATAATAAAACGTTATGAGGCGACCAAGGAGATGACTCCCACCACCAATGATTTTTATTTCTATTTCTACTTCTGATAAAACGCCTCATTTTACGTTGGCTTTATAGTTGAATGCCACAGCTATGTTAGCACTTGCATTGTTGGCACCCTGCCCAGTGTACTTGGGCACTCCATTTTAATCAGCACCAGTTGATCGCAAGGGGTTATTGGCCATTCTGTCTGGATAGCACCGTGCATTTCTGAATCCCGTTCATCAGTAACTGTAATGTCACGTGAGAAAGACCTCGAGAAATGGGGCAAAGAGATGCTACCTACCCCCCCAACTTCTCAGGCTGTAAAGGAGACAGCGGGAGATTTGTACTTTCAGACTTGCAAGATTTTGTTAATGTAGCCTTACAATAAAGTAGAATTAGCTCATCTGGTCATGTTTCCTGTCTGGTCTACCTGGGGAGGCTGACATCAATCTTGTAAGTCTCCTTTACCACCTTAGAAGTTAGAGAAGGTCCCTCCTGAACCTCTTTCTTCACCCATTATGCAGCTGAGGGCTATGCCCTCTCTTATCTGACCATTCCCTAGGCAGCACCTCTTTGCCCCGTTTCTCAAGGTCTTTCTCACATACCGTTACAGTTACCTAAGCCACACTTCCAATCCCCACAATAAAGAAAATAGTCAAAGGCTTTCAGTGCAGGAGCTACCCCCCCCCCGGGAGAGTGGGTTGGAGTTCCAGATCACGTTACTTGAGACATGCAACAAAACACAATTGCTGGGTTCATACTGCATGCAGAACCCCAACAGATCATCTTAAGGCCTAGTGGAAGAAGAGATGGGTTCCCACCATAGATGGGTCACAGACTACCCAACCCCATATTAGCCTAGACCAGCACATTGTGTAAATCCAGCTAGCGTGCAACCCATCCTTCTAAAACCCAGTGCTGTCTAGCCATGTTGACCTTCCTGGATGTGGACATGTGGCCTGTAACCCAGCACATCGGAAGAACATGCCATCTAGGATACTGATCTTTGGGGTTGAATAGGAACCCAAGGGTGAGGCCCAGGCTCCAAACAAAGAAATGTATTATATCCATCTTGCTTTGTACGTAAGACATACACTTATGCGCAATATATATATAGGAGGGGGAAACTGACTCAACCCCCCCGCCCCCCATTCCACAGCAAAGCAGCTGCTTTTTCCACCGTCAAAAGTCAACGTCAGATCCATTTATCAACACCAATGTGCAAATTGGAGACCATGAATATTTGATGTGCACTCCGACCGACGAGGTGTGCTACTTTCTCCGAACGCCCTCCCCATGCAAAGCACGGGGCCAGGGAAGCAGTTGGGCCGGAGCACGCACACCTGGGAATAAACATGGTAAAGTGTTGTAAACGCTCTCGTGAAATGATAGAAGCTAAATCCAAGGAGTTAACCCTCGGCGCCGGCGGCATGACCAAGCATCTATCTGCCGAATTTCGTCGGGCTGCACGGCGCGTACGTGGAGCATTATGAAGCCTCTGCATGAATCCACACGTTTCTCTCCTCAGAGTTCCTCCCGCGCCCCCTCCTCGTGGCCTCCATCTCGCCTTTCCCTGAGACGGCATTACCAGGCACAGAAACACAAAACAAAGCCAAGCAGAGGAGCCAACGCCGGCGTCTTGGAAGACCGGCGTGCGGGAGCCTCAAGCAGCTGGAGTCTCGCGTGCAATCTTCAAGGAAGCGGAAGAAGAGGGAAGAGACAAAAACGCAGTGGGTTGGCTTCTTAGAAAAAAATCTATCCCGGTCCCCAGCTAGGGGGCTGGGACCCTCCGCCCCGCGCTTTCCAACGGTCCTTTCGACTTTCGGTTGGCATCGAGGGCACCCTAAAGACGAGACGGGGCTCCGCCGTGCGAGCGCCAATCTCAGGGTCACCTGGGCGGATGGGAATCCGTGCATCTCCCCAAAGAGAAAAACCATCTGGATACGAACGG